GGGCCAAATCGACTTAGCTCGTCGCCCTGATCAATAATATATATACTTTGTGGGGTCTGCCACGCCTCCTTCTGTCTGTTACATACTTTTAACAAAACCATTATACCCTGATTTCCCATTTTCAATGGGTTCAGGGTATAATAAGTATTTTTTATTAAAATGATGATGACCGTTTAACTCCAGTATTCGGTACTCAAAGATTAAACAAGTAAGAAGGCTCTAGTCGAGACTGCTCGACTAGGAGATACCCTGAGCCCCCTAAGCTGATATTCTAATCATTCTGCACTTTTATGCACACATACATACACATGCATCCACACGCACGCATAAGCCTGCGCTCTGCTAACTGCGCAGTAAGCAGCGACTGGGCTGCGCTGCAGTGTGGGCAATATTATGAGAATTTATTTGTTGAATAATTTCTTTTGTAAACATATGATCTTAATGAAACTTTCAGAGTATAATCATATGAATATGTGAATATGTGTGTACATTCCAAAGCACAAGTCTCTAGTACTTGAAATACGTTTTTTACAAATTGGTGACGAAGGGGTCGTGGTATCCAAAATCAGTTAATTACAAAATTTTTGTATCCATTAACTTTATATACAACATAAATTTGAAGTCTCCAGGTCTAAATGTGTTTAAATTAGGCTGAAAAAACCATGTCGATTTTTCGATTATTCGCGATAAGAAGTAATCGAGTGAGTTATCGAAAAAATAAGATAAACTTGTACTGCCTATGGTATACACGAGTATGCATGCCAGCTACCCATTGACCCCACAAAGTATATATATTCTTGTTCAGGGCGACGAGCTGAGTTGATTTGGCCTGTCCGTCTGTCTGTCTGTCCTTCTGTCCGTATGTTTGAACACGTCGACTTCCGAAGATATTAGAGCTAGAGACTTGCATTTTTTTTTAAATGACCGTATATACAGCGCGGATGTTGAGTTTGCTTTTAAAATTCGATAAATCATCCCGTCATGTTTTTATCGAATAAAAACATTCAAAATAAAGTCTGATGCTACTATAGCTAATTGTGAGGGATTTTAAATTTTTTTAAATTTCTCAAATATTCAATATAATATGTAGATCATATGCAGAAAGTTTCATTAAATTCCGTTAAGTCAAAAAATAATAAAAAACAAGTAAGAAGACTCTAGTCGAGACTGCTCGACTAGGAGATACCCTGAACCCTCTAAACTGATATTCTGCACTTCTTTTCGACACACATACATACACACAAACGTATTAGAATGCGCTCTACTAACTGCGCTTGGGCTGTGCTGTAGAGTAGTAACATTATAAGAATTTATTTGTTGAATAATTTAATTTCTATACGTACAATCTTAATGAAAGTTTCAGGGCGTAATTATAGGGCGTAAATGTATGTACATTCCAAAGCACATGTCTCTAGTACTTGAAATACGCCTTTTAAATAGGTGAGGGTGAGGGGGTGGATATAGGGGTGGGGGGTAAATTACAACAAAAATCGAAATTATATAAAATACATATAAGTCTACATTTAAAATTTGCAAGCTCTAGCTCTAAAGGTGTAGGAGATATAATTAAATAACTAGCTTTCGATAAGGTTTTTGATCGATAATAAAATATCGGGAGTAGTTATCAATATATAAAGAAAAACTTGATATGCGCGTGATATACACGGACCTAGGAAAAAAAATTTCAAATCTCTAGCTCTTATATCTTCTGAAATCGACGCGTTCATACATACGGACGGACGGACGGACGGACGGACGGACGGACGGACGGACGGACGGACAGACAGACGGACAGGGCCAAATCGACTTAGCTCGTCGCCCTGATCAAGAATATATATACTTTGTGGGGTCTGCCACGCCTCCTTTTGCCTGTTACATACTTTTAACAAAACCATTATACCCTGATTTCCCATTTTCAATGGGTTCAGGGTATAACAAGTAAGAATACTCTAGTCGAGACTGCTCGACTAGGAGATACCCTGAACCCTCTAATCTGATATTCTAATCACTCTGCACTTCTTTTCGGCACACGTACATACACATCTACGTATTAGAACGCGCTCTGCTAACTGCGCAGTAAGCAGCGACTGCGCTTGGGCTGCACTGCAGTGTGGGCAACATTATAAGGATTTATTTGTGGAATATTTTAATTTCTAGACGTACAATCTTAATGAAACTTTCAGAACATAATCATAATATTCAAATATATGTACATTCCAAAGCACAAGTTTCTAGTACTTGAAATACGCCTTTTACAAAGGTGAGGGTGAGGGGGTGGATATAGGGGTGGGGGGTAAATTACAACAAAAATCGAAATTATATAAAATGCATATAAGTCTACATATAAAATTTGGAAGCTCTAGCCCTAAAGGTGTAGGAGGTATAATTAAATAACTAGCTTTCGATAAGGTTTTTGATCGATAATAAATTATCGGGAGCAGTTATCGATATAAAAAGAAAAACTTGATATGCGCGTGATATACACGGACCTAGGAAAAAAAATTTCAAGTCTCTAGCTCTTATATCTTCTGAAATCGACGCGTTCATACATACGGACGGACGGACGGACGGACAGACAGACGGACAGGGCCAAATCGACTTAGCTCGTCGCCCTGATCAAGAATATATATACTTTGTGGGGTCTGCCACGCCTCCTTCTCCCTGTTACATACATTTCAACATAACCATTATACCCTGATTTCCCATTGAAAATGGGTTCAGGGTATAAAAATGCTTATTTAGTATGGCTAAAATTTAAATTTCAATGTATTTAAAAATATAAATGAAATACAAAACTCATTTAATAAAATATAAAAATATTTTGAAACAATTAAGAAAATGAGCATAGGTTGCACCCCTTGGGATTCGAACGCAGCTACTCACGCCACCGCACTTTCGGAAGCCGTTTTGGCAAAACTGAAATAGATTCACTGCTGCAGCGCCATCTAGCAAAACTAAACCAAACTAACTGCTGATGTGATTCAAAGAATGTTCTAGAAGAAGTTTGAATGTATGTGTGCACACGTACATATACAATACTGTTTTGGCTGCTGCACGTGCGTTTGTTAAATGGCCAAATATTTGATTATTATACCCTGAACCCATTGAAAATGGGAAATCAGGGTATAATGGTTTTGTTAAAAGTATGTAACAGACAGAAGGAGGCGTGGCAGACCCCACAAAGTATATATATTCTTGATCAGGGTGACGAGCTGAGTTGATTTGGCCCTGTCCGTCTGTCCGTATGTATGAACGCGTCGATTTCAGAAGATATAAGAGCAAGAGACTTCAATTTTTTTTTAAATGTCCATAATTACAGCGCGCATATCAAGTTTATCATTAAAAATCGATAACTCATCTCGATCTTTTTTTATCGATAAAAAACCTTATCGAAACCCAGTTATAAAATTATATCTTCTACACCTTTATTGCTAGAGTCTCCAAATTTTTAATGTATGCTTATATGCAATTTATACAATTTCGGTTTTTGTTAAAATTTACCCCCCACCTCTAAATTCACCCCCTCACCCTCACTTTTGTAAAAAGCGTATTTCAAATACTAGAGACTTTGGCAATTACATGCATATTCATGTTATAATCATAATCTAAAAGTTTCATGAAGATCGTACGTCTATAAAAAAAAGTTATTAAACAATTAAGTTCTCATAGTAAGCGCACACTGCAGCCCATGCGTGTTTATGCGTGGTTGCTTGTTTGTGTATGTGTTTGTGTATGTGTGTGTGTATGTGTGTGTGTATGCGTTTGTGTATTTATGCGTGTGTGTGTGTATGTGTGTCTGTATGCGTGTGTGTGTATGTATGCCTGTGTGTGCGTACGTGCGTGTGTGTGTGTGTGTGCGTGTTTCTTGTGTAAACTGAAAGTCGCGAAAAATTATTGAAATATCTATTGCTCCAAGGGTTCAGGGGATCTCGTAGTCGAGCAGTCTCGACTAGAGCTTTCTTACTTGTTTTACTTCTGTGCTTGGCTCACTTATCACAATAGTAACCAACTCAAACATATCGAAAAATCACAAAAAATATATATTAGATATTTGGCAAAAAAAAAAAATCCCTATACAGTCGACTCTTGTTATATCAAACCTGCGTTATTTCGAACCTATTAATTCAAAGTTATCACGAGTCCCCTACAAAATCTCTTTATATTTCGAATTAAGTCCATACATTTTTATGCACTCAGTAATTCGAACTAAAAAATCATTGCTAAGACGCGGTAATTCGTACTCATATGGTTAAACACTGGACAATTCGAATTTGTGAAGTTTCTTGGTGTGCTAATAAGAACTTTGAATTTGAATTTTGGGACTCCCTTGAAACTAACTATACTCTGAGTGGTTGTGTGTTACGCATAAAACATAGGCACATTTTGATACTCGCTTCCGCACGAATCGCTTCGTTAGTATACATATTAAAATTTTTTAAATTTCGAACCATTTAATATTTCAAACATTCGATAGTTCGAAATATTTTAAGAGTCCCTTGAATTTCGAAATAACGAGAGTCGACTGTACATATATTTTTGTTAGCAAGAAAAACCGATATATTCATATTTCGATATATTTTCGACAACCCAACTTGGATACTTCAGACTTACTGTGTATATACATTTAATGAATACGTAATTTACAGATTTTGGATACCATGCCCCCACGCCAACAATTTTTAAAATACGTATTTCAAGTAGGGACTTGTGCTTTGGAATGTACACACATTCATGGTATCTCCTAGTCGAGCAGTCGACTAGAGCCTTCTTACTTGTTTTTTGTTAGTTTAATATGAATATAAAAAAATAAATAAAATTCCAAAAGTAAAAAGTTGGAAATATTAGGTATATTGTAAAGTATATTATATTATACATATATTTATATTCTATATATATTTATATTATTATCTGTTCAGAAGTTTCAGCCCCAACTTGTACACTGTCTGCTTATGTAATTGTCGCTCAACTGATGTTTTGACATTTCGGTGTATATTGTTTAGCAATCTGAATTGATTCCCGCCCCGAACATTACCAATTCCAATAGTTGGCTGAAAATTGCTGATTGGGGCTTGCCAAATAATTTGGTATGCGCTGGAAATACCTTAGCTGCAGCTGCCCCTAATGAGACTCGCTCCCAGGGCCAACACACACACACATGTTTACAATACTCCGGCAACGGGCATGGCCAGCCAGGACCTTGGGATTGGTGAGCCCAATTTGCATGTCAGAGAACAATTTAATCAAATTGAAATCAAATAATTTGAAATCATAATGTGAGAACTTTGTCACTTGATGTTTTCGTAGACGCATGGGAACCTGAACAGGTTTCGCTTGTTTATAATTACAAACTGTGGCGCATTTTATTGTTGCTGTTGTTGTTGCTTGTTGGGGGCAACGACAACATCAGAGTGCTTAAGTTTCTTAACTAATTTGCGACTATTTCCAGATGGCGCTCGACGGCAAAGCGATAATTAAGGAGGAGATTACCGACAAGGACGCCTACGATGCGGCCGCAGCAGCAGCAGCAGCAGCAGCGGCAGCAGCGGCAGCGGTCTCAGTGGCAACATCAACAGCTGCCTCATCCGCGTCATCCTCAGCGTCCTCATCAGCAGCAGCAGCAGCCAACACAGCGGCTACTGCGGCTGCAATTAGTCGACGGTTTAAAGGTGAGTGGCATGCGGACAACTCACGTGTGAGCAGTGGGTGGCCTGAACGCGGGATGTTCGGGTAGGGAAAGAGGAAGTACCTATGTGTGTGTGAGTGAGTGTGGCAATGACAGACGTTAAGGCGTTTAATTTGGACTCCAGAGTTGGGATTGGGAGCACAAGTGCAGCCAAGCGACAGCCCCAACGATTGATGGTGTGAATCGTAGCAGCTGTGTGCGTGCGTGTGAGTGTGAGTCTGAATGTGAATGTGAGTCTGAGTGCGAGCGTGAGTGTAGACTAAGGGTGTTTGGCTGTTTATGTTAAGGCTAGGCTAAACAATTAGCGATATCAAAATCAACATTTCTTGCCAGCGAGATAAAGAAAGAGAGAGAGAAAGAAAGAGAGAGAGGCGGAGAAAGGGAGAGAGAGAGAGACAGAGAGAAATTTTAAGCCAGAGTTAAAAAATATTGAAAAATAATATAAATTAATTATTGCAAAATACATTTAGCATAAATAAATTCGAAAATTATAAAATTTTGTTAGTTATTTTTAATAAATAAAGAAAGACATATATGCAAATTTTTAGATTAAAGTATAAACTGCATAAGTATAGATTTTTCCATATGGACGTCTATGGACATTTATTTATTTATATATTTTTGGTTGGCGGTTTTAGCTTGAGCTTAAGTAGTAGCGTTTATAATATTCCACAGTGCTTATCATATTCAAAATCCGCTTTTAATCCACTTAAACGAATTGGAAAATTTTTTCCAAATGAGATATTTCCTTAAAATCTTCAAAAATGATTAGTTCAATATTCCAATTGTGAAAAGCAAAAAACTTTTTCAATTAAAATTACCGACTTAATACCGATTTCTTAAAAAGAAGAAAAAAAAAAAAAAAACAAAAACAAAAACATTGAAGCCGCTAAATTTATTAAAAGGTCCTTTTCGAAACTTAGTCATTCATTTAGAATTTACGTTTTAAGATATCAAACTGTCTCCAATTGGCGATTTTTGGCATACACATGTCTTGCAAGATTACCCCAGACATTTTCTATAGGAGTGAGATCTGGAGAACATGCTGGCTAGTCAAGGACAACAACAAATAGTCCTTTGTACGTCTGTTCATTTGGATTCTGGCATTATCCTGTTGGAAAACCATTGGTTTCTCACGTAATTCCCTTAAATATGGAATGAGACTACTATCCAGAGTCTGAATATACTCTTCACTGTTCATTCGGCTCGTTACAAACTCATATTCCAAGGTACCAAATGAACAAAATGTACCCTAAGTCATGACAGAGCCACCTCCATAGGATCCTTTCTCAAATCATGAAAAAAGAATCAAACCCATCAAGACCATTCAGGTTAAACTTCTTCCCATCAGAAAATATGACCTAAAAATTTGTAAATATACTTTAAGCCAAAAGATGATGATTCAAACGCGCGTATGTCCAATCAGTCGTTTTGGTGGTTTTGGTAATAATTCGTTTTCTTTATCCATATTCTTCGGGATTGGAAAAGACTCTCCTGACTCAAAAAGTGAGAAAATGTATTTAGGTAGGTATTTTCATAGTCAGATAACTGTTTTCCAAGCGGCATCTCTTAAAAACTATCAAAATTATTTAATTACAAGGTCTGTAAAGCCAAAAATCTGCTCCGCACCTAATAAACTCAAACTTGTTAATGTGGGCTATAATTATGATACACAACAAGTAAGAAGGCTCTAGTCGAGACTGCTCGACTAGGAGATACCCTGAACCCTCTAAGCTGATATTCTAATCATTCTGCATTTTTATGCACACATACATACACATGCATCCACACGCACGCATAAGCCTGCGCTCTGCTAACTGCGCAGTAAGCAGCGACTGCGCTTGGGCTGCGCTGCAGTGTGGGCAATATTATGAGAATTTATTTGTTGAATAATTTCTTTTGTAGACATAAGATCTTAATGAAACTTTCAGAGTGTAATCATATGATGAATATGTGTGTACATTCCAAAGCACAAGTCTCTAGTACTTGAAATGCGTTTTTTACAAATTGGGGGAGAAGGGGGCGTGGTATCCAAAATCTGTAAATTACAAAATCTTTGTATCGATTAACTTTATATACAACCCAAATTTGAACACTCCAGGTCTAAAAATGTTCAAATTAGGCTGAAAAAACAAAATCAATTTTTCGATTATTCTCGATAAAAAAGTTATCGGACGATTTATCGAAAAAATAAAGCAAACTCGTACTGCGTATGGTACACACGAGTATGCATGTCAAATTTCAGCTCTCTAGCTCTTATAACTTCTGAGATCGACGCACTCATACGGACGGACGGACGGACGGACGGACGGACGGACGGACGGACGGACGGACGGACGGACGGACAGACGGACAGGGCTATATCAACTCAGCTCGTCGCGCTGATCAAGAATATATATACTTTATGGGGTCTGCCACGCCTCCTTCTGCCCGTTACATACTTTTTCACAAAACCATTATACCCTGATTTCCCATTTTCAATGGGTTCAGGGTATAAAAATGCTAGCACACAGCAAACGGTAACAGTTCTTTCTTAGGTTTCTATAAATTGAACACAAATTTCGGTAAATTCTACTAAACATGCTCCTGTCAACAAAGTACTGTAAAATTTATTTTTAAAAAACCTTAAAAATGTTGTTAAAATTGGTTCAAACTTTAAGTTTCTGGATAAGTTATAAATATAATAAGCACTGTAGATAGTACTGCATATCATAAAACTTAAAAAACATTACAAAGCGAATATACCAACAAATACTTGAATGACAGCAAAATTATTTGCATTTATCTAAACTGGCGAAAAAAATGAATAACATATATAAATATAGTATATGTATGTACGCCTGTGGTCAAAAATAGTAGTAGTATTGATACTGTTCGTCATAAAAACTAGCTGATAAACTGAAGATTTCGACACTAACTTGAAACGAATCTTAAAATTAACATACAATTAATTAATTATTAATTATTGAGTTACTAACTCTCCAAATATTTTTTGCGACATTTAGCGCTCGGTCGCACTAATGTTTTTATCAGCGCATCATGACTTTATTAAATATATTTCCAACACTTCGAGATATTTATGTGAACTACCTAATATCAAATGTGAAATTCATTAAAACCCATTTAAATTTGTTAGGCAACTTTTTAAAAGATTATTTATTTGAAAATTTACGCAAAGCTTGAAGAGCCACTAAAGATATTGATAACCAAATCTGAAAATTAATAACATACTTCATTGAATTTTTAAATATACAAGAATTTATTTAATCAATCAACATATACTTAGATAAGCTGTTCACAGATATTTTGAGCCCTTAGCAACTGCCTTCAAATATTATGTTGATTGTGAGGGATGCTGGATAGCCAGCAGAATTCTACCATTCTATATATTTTTTGCTGTTTGGACATTACTCTAAGAAATAGCAACTGCTGCTGGCGTTCCCAGCAGCAACAGCAGGAAGAGGAGGAAGTGCAACAACAGGCTTCATATGGCAAAAAGTGTGGCCAGATTTTGGGGACTGCTGAATTGTATGCGCTCCTTTGATTGCTGGTGCTTTTGTTGTTGTCGCTGTCGACGCTCTAGTTGCTCTGGCTGTGCGTACCTGTGTCACAAGCTGCGCCTGTTCCCAGGCCAATAAAGCGTACGTGCGCGTGTGTGTATGCTCTGAATTTAAGGCGCTTAAATTGTATGAAACCCAGCTCTCTAATTAGCATTCAAAACTGAAGCTCTTCAAAAAAAGTTTTGTTCAACAAATGTTTGCTGTGTTGCAGAGACGCCCACAACAGCAACAGCAGCATCAGCAGCATCAGCAGCATCAGCAGCAGCAGCAGGAGCAGCAACTTCATTATGGTCTTCTGCCGCCTGCTGATGATGATAATCACAAACAGCGCATGATGAATATTTGCCAAAATGATTGTTTTCCCAAATGACTATGCCAGCAACAGCAACAGCAACGGCAACAGCAACAGCAACAACAATAGCAACAACACTAGCTAAAGTTGCCAACATTTCGTTTTGTGCGCTCGACTGCAATCTATGGGACGCAGCTGTGCAAATTCTGTTGCCCATACACTCATACATACCAGCATATACACACACACATGCATAGACTGCCATTAGCCCACGCTGCGTATACGTAACCCTAAATCGATGGCTGCTGCTGCTCTTGAAACTCACTCATGATGCTGATGTTGCACCAGCCGTCGAGGCTCCCACAATGCCGCATTGCCATGCCCCAACGCAACACACACACACACCAACTAACACACACACACCAACTAACACACACACAAACGGAAAATTGCCAACATTATGTTTTAGAAAATATGTGAATTGTCAACACAAAATTTTCGTAAATAGTTTTTCGTGGCTGAAACATTTTTCGTGCCCAGTCACAGCTGGTCAGCTAACCGCCCCATCAGCCATGCCCCCATCCGTTCGGCCCTTGGGACACAACTTTGGGTCACTTGCGGTTTGCGGCTCTAGCAAACTTTTAAGCCTCAGCCAACTGCAATATTTTACAATTGTACCCCAGCAGCACGCTGCTAGATAGCTGTGGGATACTCGGACTCAGTGAGACAGATACATAGCCAGAGCGACACTTGGTTCTTTTTATTTGTTTGATTATATTATACACACTTTTTTTGCTTTTTGCATAGCAGCCAATTACAGAGCCGGCGGCGGCATCATGTGATCCATCATTGTCTATGTTTGGCGTTTGATAAGCCGCCGCCAACTTAGCTGAGTGATGCCACCCAGCCCCCACCGCCTCCTGCTCCCTCCCTCTCTATGTTTATATGTGTATATGTGTGTGTGTCTGTGTGTTTGTGTCCCTTCGATTGGCGTGCCTGAATGGCTGTGAAAACACAGCCAGTTGCAGCTGTATCCACAATCATTATCACAAAAGCAAACTACAGCAGCAGCCACAGCCACAGCAGCAGCAGCAGCAGCATCGACTGGCTGCCATGACCGTCGTCATCGTCATCGTCAACAGCAGCAGCAGCAGCAGCAGCAGCAGCAGCAGTAACAGCAGCAGTGGCAACATTTCCACTCCCGCTAGCCGCCCAATCACACACACACATAAACAATTTCCATTAGCTTGTACAAACAAAGTTGGTGTGTGTTTGGTCTCCAGTGCGAAACAGGCGACAATATATTTGCGAAATGAATTGTTTGAAAATTTACAATGAGATGTATCGCAATAGCAATATATTGAGAGTTAGATAGACAGACAAAGAGATAGAGAGAGAGAGAGAGAGAGAGAGAGGTTTAGGGATAGAGATTGCGAACGCGTCTAGCATAAGTCCCAAAAATAACAAGTATGAAAGCTGTAGTCGAGGCTGCCCGACTACGAGATCCCCTGAAGTCTTCGAGCAACTGATACTTCAATAATTATTCGCACATGCACACACACACAGCCATACCCACGCACGCATAAACACACATTGGCTGCAGTGGTAGCTTACTATGGGAACTTAATTGTTAATAACTTTTCTAGTGGATGAACTATCTTCATAAAACTTTTAGATTTCAAAGATAACATAGATATGCACGTATTTTCCAAAGCACGACGAGCTGAGTCGATTTAGCTCTGTCCGCATCCGTGCGTGCGTACGTCTGTGTGTGTAAATATGTGAATAATTATTGAAATATCAGTTGCTGGAAGGGTTCAGGGGATCTCGTAGTCTGGCAGTCTCGACTACAGCTTTCTTGTTATATTTTTGTTTTGCTGTTAACGAAAACTCATTCGTTTTTATTTGTCGCCTGCAACCGTTGAGCTTCGTGTGCCAAGCCCAAATCCCCCACTTTCAGTCCCGGACCAGTCCCGAGCCACACTATGCTGTGGCTTTGACGTTGAGCTGCTGCCGAATGCGACGCTTTGGCAGCAGGATCAGGTCCAGGCACGTTGCACCCGGCGGAGCAACTCGATTCCCCCGTTTCCCTCGCAGCGCAACTACTCTTCTCTCTTCCTTGGGCCACCAATTAGTGCGTGTTGCTTGATTTGCTTGCTCGACTCGGCTGGCCTGCACGGGGCTGGGCTGAGCTGGGCTGGGCGCTTGTTGCCTGGCAAATGGTACCCAAAAATGTTTGCTAATTTATTTCCCATGTTCAAACAAATTTGTTAATGCTAGTGCGGCGTCCCCCGGCGATGGGACAGACAAGTGCTGTAGCATGTTTGCGGTCAGCAGAAATATATACATATTTTGCAGCACGGCTGATGTTGCTTGCCTTTGCCTAGCTTCCGAGTTGGCGAGAATTGGAGCTTCCGAGCTGCAGTAGCGTCTACAACAGCTCCTAATGCATTTGTAATGCGCTTCGCCTGCACATCCTGTGTGTTCCTCTGTGTGTGTGGGTGTGGGTGTCTTGTTTCTCTTCATTGTTTATTGCGAACTAACTAACGAGCTGACTGCTTCCTTTTCCCTTTTAATCCGACAAACAGCTAACAGCAGCAACAGCAGCAGCAACAGCAGCAACGGCGACAAGAGCTCCAGCACCACCACCACCAACTCCTCCTCGGCCGGCGGCAGCAGCAGCAGCAGCAGTAGCAGTAGCAAGGACATGTCCATCACCGGCACCAACACAGTCAGCAGTCAGCAGCTCACGCCCAACGGCAGCCGAGAGCGGGAGCGTGAAAGGGAACGGGAACGGGAACGAGAACGTGATCGTGAACGAGAAAGGGATCGGCTCTGTCGCACGCCACCAGAGTCGCCTCCTGCGCTGGCGCGCAATATGGTAGCTGCTCCGCGCTCTCCCCACTCACCGCCCCAGCAGATGCACCACCACCAGCGACCACAGCGCAACACGAGCGCCTCCCCCGTGGTAAACGGCGGCGCCAGCTCCGCCACGTCGCCCACGCCAGGATCACAGCACGCAGCCTCTCTAGCCGCTGCTGCGGCCGCGGCTGCAGCGGCTGCTCACGTGGAGCAGGCGCGGCTGCTGTCCAAGCTGCGGAAGTTCCTGGGCGCCCTGCTCCAGTTCTCGCAGGAGCTCGGCCAGCCGGAGGTGAGCGAGCGGGTGCGCGCCCTAGTGCTGTCCCTGGCTAGCAGCAACATATCACTGGAAGAGTTCCGACTGGCCCTGCAGGAGGCCATCAACCTACCGCTGCGACCGTATGTGATGCCGCTGCTCAAGAACAGCGTGGCCCTGATGCAGCGCGAGATCCTGGCCCTGGCGCGAGCCACTAACCAGTCGGCCATGCAGTACGTGACCAGCAACGAGCAGGCTGTGATGGAGCTGACGCCCCATGGCGTGGGCAGCGCCGAGTTCGCGGACATATTCGTGCAGCTGGAGGCGCCGGCGCCGGTTGCGGCCAACGGCAATGGCGGGTCGCTTTTCAAGCGCCGCTCCTCGGACTCGATCATGGAGCACAGCGCGCACAACGGCCTGCAGGAGTGGGCAGAGTACATGCCCAACGCCGGCGCAGCCTACGCGCCGCCCAGCAAGCGGCTGGCCATGCATCCGGCTGCCGCCCACTCGGTGCTCGCCTTCGACTATAGCACTGCGACTGCCGCCGGCGAGGCGGCTGCTGCCGCGGGCTTCATGCAGCGTGACGAGCGAGACCTGCGCCTGCCCGAGTCGGGGCAGGGTGCCAGCAGGCTTGCGCTGCCCCAGGTGGCGCGCGGGGGCAATGCGCCAGCAGCAGCTGCTCCTGCCCCTGCTCCTGGCGGCGAGGAGGAGTGGAAGAACATCCACACCATGCTTAACTGTATCTCGGCCATGGTCGACAAAACCAAGCGGGCCATCACCATCCTGCAGCAGCGCGGCATCGAGCCACAGCACGGCAGCAACGGCAGCCAAGACCTGACGCCCGCCGCCATGGCCGAGCTGCGTCGCCAGACCGAGGAGAAGGTGGCCGAGTTCAAGCGTAACGCCGAGGATGCAGTCACCCAGGTGAGTCTCCCACAGAGTCCCCAGACTTAGCTTTGTGTTTACTGTGCTCTCCTCCCGCCCTGGCAGGTCAAGCGGCAGGCGGTCATCGAGATACAGAGAGCCGTGGTGGCAGCTGAGACGCGTGCAGCCGAGATCATGACTCAAGAGCGACTGCGCATGGAAAAGTTCTTCATGGAGATGAGTCGTCACTCCAGCGGAGACCGCGATCTGGATAATAAGTCGCCATCCATAACCAGCGCGCAGAATGTAAGTGCTTTCTACATACTGAGCCGTGGGATTATATATTAACATTTCATTTCATTAACATAACAAAATATTATTCCTTGGCCCATCCATTACAGGGCAGCAGCCTGCAGCAGCAATGCTGGAACTGCGGCCGCAAGGCCACGGAGACGTGCTCCGGCTGCAACATGGCCCGCTACTGCAGCGCCTCATGCCAGTACAGGGACTGGGACAGCCATCACCAGGTGAGTTGCCAGCAGCTGAAGGAACCCTGCTGAACACATCACTAATCCCAGTGCTCTTCGGATCGGCTTATAGGTGTGCGGCAACTCACGGGCTAGCGAGCTGAGCGCCAAGCATTTGCACTCGGCTACCGCTAACACCAGCGCCAGCGGCATGCGCAGCGCCATGGCAGCCCGCTCCCCTCCCACGCCTACAGCCGCAGCAGCGGCAGCCGCAGCGGCAGCGGTGCATCTGCAGGCGGCTGGTGCCGGCGTGCGGGAGTCGGCAGTGGCCGGTGGCACGGCTGGCGGCACTGCGGCCGTTGGCGTCGCTGGGGGCGGGGCTGGGGTCGCCGCTGGCACAGCCAGTGCGCTGGTGCCCAACGGACTGGGCTCCAAATGACGCATTCGCATGATGAAACCCAAGAAGAAATACTTGTGCTAGTCAAATTACCGATCGGGCTCGAATACGACGATAAAAAAATTATAATCTACATATACAAATAGATATGGAGTTTAACTAACGTAAACCTTAACCAAAAGAAAAATCGGACATTGTCAGCATTATCCAAATAGTCTTTAATTACATACTTAATATACTTCAAGTAAACGAGATAGATATGTAATTTGAGCCTAACACATTTTGCAGTACATTAAAAATATAAACAAAAATATATTAATAATATTAAAGGAAAACGAGTTAAGTGCGCGGCAAAATAATTTAATTCAACTCTAGTTTTTGTGAAAATTACGAGAGAAACGAAAATGTTTGAAATCACGCTGAAAAGCCTCTCTGAACTTTATTGACTTAAATTAAATTGTATGAGCACTTAAAAGACACCAAGGCATAAGAAATAAATAGAAAATAATTCAAATATTTGCACCACAATTAATCAACTTAAAAATATGCAAAATTATATTAATGCAAACTCTTAAAAGCAACTCAGATTTATTTAAGAGGTCAAAGCTGCAAGTAGTTTTTAGGAGTCAGCCCGCGCAGCGAGGGGAGGGAGCTTGAAGAAAACGGGAATACTTAAACTGAACATAGTAATTTTTATAAAATAATAAAATATGATAAATATAATGATTATTATTATTATTATTATTATTATTGCCATTACTGCTATCATTATGGATAATTTATTGATTATATATATCTATCTGTATGTATTTAAATTATTAATTAGTATTTATTGTATTTCTAAACACGTATTTAACTGTACTTTAAATATAGACAAGCAAGAGAAAACCAAAAGCAAATGCAAGAAAATCTAATCTAAATGTTACAACCCACACAAAGAAAGGCTAAAAAGAAACCCAAGAAATAAAGTGTTTTAAACCAAAAAACTCGTTTCGAAATGATTTCGTTCCAATCGAATCGATTTCAATTCGATGCGATTTCTAGAGCAGCCTAAAAGCAGGCAACACAAAACTGCATCAGCCATGAATTGCGCATTAGTGAATGTGTGTGAGTGCGAGAGAGAGAGTGAGGATGTGATGTTTGGGGTGGAACGGGGTTTCGGTGTGTGAGATACAAAACCACAAACTGCTGTGATGAAATTTCAATTATCGTCACTCAGTTGCGCCATGTGCGGGTGTGTGTTTGTATGTGTGCATGTGCATGTGCGTGTGTGTACGCGTGTACGTGTGTGTGAGTGTGTTTGGCACACCTGCTGCTGTCGCATTGCAAGCAAGCAAAAGCTCGTTAGTGCCTCGCTTCGCCTAGGGGCATGCACAGCATTTGTTGCACACAGACGTACTCACACACATGTGCATGGCTTGTGGCTACCACACATAAACACCCGCACACACACATAGAGGGACGGATAGAGAGAGAAGATACTTCAGGATCAGCTTGCCTTAACTTTACTTTTGTCTGCAACTGCTGTGCGCTTTTTTGCAACCCTTCACTGGACGCCGAGTGGGAATTTAGTTTGAGTACGTGGCAAGCCCATTATCATGATGATGATGATGATGATGATGGTGGTGGTGGTGGTGGTGGGGGTGCGGTGGTGGCGTTTTGCTACCTGAGAGATTTTCTAAAGCCAGCTACAGCCACTGAGCGACAGGCGGCCGCATATTCAAATAGATGCACGTCCAGCCAACAGCCAACAGCCAAGCAGCCAAGCAGCCAACCAGTCAACAGGCAACTGGCAACTGGCAACTGGCAGCAGCTTCCTGGTGCTCCATCTGGCCAGCATGTGCTGACGCTTTGTTTGTTTCTGACTGTAAAGCCCCGCTCTGGCCCACTCCCCATTCTCGGCTGCCCCTGCACATCTACTTACTGCCCATTCGTTAGCTTCTATTTAACATGCAGTTATCGTTTGTTATCGCCAGCAGCCACAGCTCAGCCAGCCAGATGACATGCACATGTTGTCAACGGCAATAACAGCAGCATCTCCTCTGAAGGAAACGAAGCGCAGCTCAAAGGAGGCAGTGGGCTCGAATACCCTCTGCCAAAAAGTAAGTGGGTATATGCATTATTATTGTTTCTAGAATTTTAATTTATTCAACGGCATACAAATATTTAGTTTTATGCTAACTTATTTTTTTATTCATTCATGAGCTGAAAGAACTCCTAGTGCTGTTTTCCAAAGCAACTCACCTGTGTCAAATCGCAGGAAAAGTAAGCTGATCACCAACCATGGCACTCAATTTGAAAACACAATAATCTTAGAAGCAGAAACTTGGCAACATCATGTCATATATATCATATTATATTATCATATATACGCATATTATATAATTCTCGCTTCAAACACAGTTTATTGCCTTCAATATACTGGTGAGTGGGTGATTTCCAACATTTGGCCCGTCCGTTTGCTCATCTGTCCGAGTGAGGTTAAAGCATTTCGGCATTTCGATTTATAATCTCCGACAGCGACAATCTGAAATCTATGACGTTGTTAATGGGGATTCGTCTATTAAATTACCAACAATGATATATGCAAATATGGCAATATGGGATACTCCAAAGTTCTTAAATTGTTCAGCCCAGCTGCGCAGACTCCTCTTGAGATTGAATACAATCGAGGAAAATTATATATTGGTTATATAATTAAACATTCAAAATTTCGAGATAAGCAACAATTTGTTTTATTCGTATATTATATATTTTTATATATTCTGAATTCCAATTTGACTGAGTCAAAATTCCAGACAGTACCAAGTTAGGGCTAAATAGCAGCAGCGTCGGCCCGTGGGCCTAGGTCTTGCTTTGGCTCTGATTGCGCAAATTGCATTAACATTAAAAACCTGGAACTTGAACGAGAGTTTTAATTAAAATGCCAGCAACTAGCGCTCAATATGCGATGTCTGGCAAAAGAAGCGGCATTTGGCGGCACTTCGACTGTGTCTGACATAAAAATATTCATCATAAGTAGCAGCCAGCCACCAGCAGCAGCAGCAGCAGCAGAAGGAGCAGGAGCAGCAGGAGGAGCAGCACTAACAACAGCCGCCAGCTGCTCACTGAGTCGCTGTCGCTGTCGCTGTCGAAGCTGGCAGCGACGCGGGCAGCAATTCTGCCATTTCAATCGACATCTGTTACTGATTTCAAAGAAACTTTTGTTGACAACACAAACAAATGCCAAACACAGAAGCAGCTGAGTTAGAGAGAGAGAGAGCGAGGGAGTGAGCGAGAGGGAGAGACAGTATGTTGTCGCCTGGGGCCAATGGGACTAGGTACAAACGCTTGACGCTTGCCTGCGCACGACTCCAGCAGCAGCCAACTTCGGGCCTCACGTGTCCCGGGCCCCTTTACGGCCCACCACGACCCACAAGAGTGCCGCACAGCTGACGCTAACGTTATCAGCCAGCAAGTGGCTTGGTCTCCATCTCTCTCTCCCTTTCTCTCTCACTGTCCCTTTCCGGCTCTCCATTGTGTGTGTGTTTTTGTTTTTGCCGGCAAGAAACAAAGTTGACTGAGGTTGCCTGCATTTGAAGGCTGTGCAGCAGCAGCAGCAGCAGCAGCAGCAGCAGTGAATAACATGTGCGTGCCCCGTATGGCTGCGAGAGAATGTGTGGGTTTTTGGCGGTGGCATTGTCGATAATAACGATTTGACTGGGCGCAAGGAGGCGGAGGCGGAAGCGAGGCACATATATGGGCGCAATTCCTGTTGCCGTTCCCATTCTCGTTCCCCTTCCCGTTCCCATTCCTGTGGCCCTAGCCAGCTTTTGTGCACGTAACATGTGTCAATTACAGGCACACACATACATAATCAAACTAACTGTTCACACATACAAAGACTGCTCTCGCTCACCTTCTATAACTCAAAAAGCTGCCAAAAAGTGTGCGCACATTTTTTATACGCGCCGCCTGAAAGTATGCACATATATTTTTTATATGTTTGCTGCCGGCTTCTGACAGCTACGCCCCGACGCCGACGCCGACTGCGCAGCAGCTGCTGCGAATGAAACGACTGCACCGCGGCATCTGCTGGCGACCGGCTTTATGTTAATTTATTTTGGCATTGGAATTTTCTGTGCGCCAAATTCTTCCCATTCACCTTTGTGTTTTGGCCACGTTTAATTAAAAAACAAGTAAGAACGTTGCTGTCGGGCGATACCAATTGCGCAATACTCATTCACAGCCCAAACACTGTCAACCAGAGTATATAGTGCAATTTTCAATTCTAGTGCGCAACTAAAAACAGGGCATGACCCCATTAAAATTGGAAAATCATCGATAGCTATTGATATCATTTCATTGCATCATTGCAGCTAGGATCTTCAAATTACATATATCACATACAATTTTGATTTTTATTATATATTTATATATAATATATTATATATTTATATATATTGTATACAGGCTTTAAGCTGGCAGCAGATCAGCGCGATTTTCCTATACATGTGCACACACTCATCGCCTATTTTATGCGTACAGACAGAATCGCACCTTTTAGCACATTATTAGAATTTCGATTGATTTCTGGATTTTCTAGCCGTTACTGTATTATTTTCAGATCACGCTCTGTTATTAAATTATTCTAAAGGCGACGCAAGTTATGTTAGAGTAGGGGAGGTTCGAAACCTTTTTATACCCTGAACCTATTTTCCATGGGAATCCGCGTATAATGGTTTTGTTGAAATGTATGTTACAGGCAGAAGGAGGCGTGGCAGACCGCACAAGGTATATATATTCTTGATAAGGGCGACCAGATGTGTTGTTTTACCCATGTCCGTCTGTCCGTCCGTCCGTCTGTCAGTATGTTTGAACGCGTCGATTTCAGAAGATACAAGAGCTAGATACCTTTTTTTTTTGTAAAATGTTCGTGTATACCACGCGGATATCGAGTTTTGCTTTATAAATCGATAACTCCCGATATTTTTCTATCGATAAAACCCTTATCGAAAATCTGTTATAAAATTGATCTCCTACAACTTTAAAGCTAAAGTCTCTAAATATTTAATGTAGATTGAAATGCAGTTTATACAATTTCGGTTTTTGTTAAAATTTACCCTCACCCCTATATCCACCCCCTCACCGACATGTTTGTAAAAGGCGTACTGCGTGTTTAAATTTAAATTAGTTTCTTCTTAAATAGCCCTCAAATACATATACGCAAATACATACATATGTATATATGTAAGTCTGCACGCATAGCATCAAGCATTCCAGCCTTATACACGCGCTCGTTTGTATGTGTGTATGTATGCACACATAAATGCGTACTCTAGCATATTCTAAGAATCTCAGTTGCGATTGATTTGTCTTTGCATTGATTTTGAATTTCAAGCTGCTACACTGGCTTTTCTTTGCTATGTGGCGTCATAACAATAATGTGATTTCGATTTAATTAGTGTTGATCAAAACGACGTGGTGGTGCTGTAGGCAGAAGCGCTGGCGATATTTATTTTAGTTATTTTGACATTCATGCTATTCGGTTTGGTTGCGAGTTCAAATCTATTAAACGTAGTTATATGTAAAAATACATGAATAGAAGATGGCTGGCGCATATAAATGTCGCAACTCAGGCACTATAAATGCCGATTACCACGCCCCTAGTGGCCATACACTCCCCATTTTTGACCATTTCTCAGAACCTAAACCGGTAACCTAAATGCAAAATTATTCTTACGCTCAAAAAATTTGAAAATTAACAGTATTTTTCGATATGCCACGCCCCTAAGAAGGCGTAAAAATTTTTTTTGGGGCATCGATAAAGGAGGCTACCAGTAACTTAATTATCCAAATTTGAAGCTTCTAGCTCATAAACTGTAGGAGATATAAACTTTTGCGGTTTGCCACGCCCCCTATGGGCGAACATATATCTACCATAGTTCGTTAGACTTGGGAGGTCAACCCGCGTAAATATACCAAATTTCAGGTTTCTAGCATCAAT